TGGACATAGAAAATAGCACCATGAAAAAGAGCCACATTTCTCTAAAGAACTCGCCCAGGGCTGCTAAAAGCTGAAAAAGAACCTATCTAGAAGTTTGGGCCTTTTTACCCGTGAATCTTCACTTTGCGACTAAACTATTCACAGCAGTGCCAAATTTTCTGGGTCACTGAATGCGGGTGCCAGCGCCCTACAAGCAAACCAAAAATGAAACCAATGCGACCACTGAAATTACAGCTGGGTCATGTTATAGAGAGGTACGTTGAAATTGAAAGGTCAGCACAAATGGTCAAAATCCGACATTTTCTCACCTTTCTGCCCGTTCGCAGCTCAGAAAATGACAATGACCATCCTCATCTCGTTGTGTAGCTGGACATAGCCAAGAGCACCAAGAAAAAGACTCACATTTCTCTAAAGAACTCGCCTAGGGCTGCTGAAAGCTGAAAAAGAACCTATCTACAAGTTTGGGGCTTTTTACCCGTGAATCTTCACTTTTCGACTAAACTATTCACAGCAGTGCCAAATTTTCAGGGTCACTGAATGCGGGTGCCAGCGCCCTACAAGCAAACCAAAAATGAAACCAATGCGACCACTGAAATTACAGCTGGGTCATGTTATAGAGAGGTACGTTGAAATTGAAAGGTCAGCACAAATGGTCAAAATCCGACATTTTCTCACCTTTCTGCGCGTTCGCAGCTCAGAAAATGACAATGACCATCCTCATATCGTTGTGTAGCTGGACATAGAAAATAGCACCATGAAAAAGAGCGACATTTCTCTAAAGAACTCACTCAGGGCTGCTGAAACTGAAAAAGAACCTATCTAGAAGTTTGGGGCTTTTTACCCGTGAATCTTCACTTTGCGACTAAACTATTCACAGCAGTGCCAAATTTTCTGGGTCACTGAATGCGGGTGCCAGCGCCCTACAAGCAAATCAAATATGAAACAAATGCGACCACTGAAATTACAGCTGGGTCATGTTATAGAGAGGAACGTTGAAATTGAAAGGTCAGCACAAATGGTCAAAATCCGACATTTTCTCACCTTTCTGCCCTTTCGCAGCTCAGAAAATGACAATGACCATCCTCATCTCGTTGTGTAGCTGGACATAGAAAATAGCACCATGAAAAAGAGCCAAATTTCTCTAAAGAACTCACCCAGGGCTGCTGAAAGCAGAAAAAGAATCTATCTAGAAGTTTGGGCTTTTTACCCGTGAATCTTCACTTTGCAACTAAACTATTCACAGCAGTGCCAAATTTTCTGGGTCACTGAATGCGGGTGCTAGCGGCCTACAAGCAAACCAAAAATGAAACCAATGCGACCACTGACATTACAGTTGGGTCATGTTATAGAGAGGTACGTTGAAATTGAAAGGTCAGCACAAATGCTCAAAATCCGACATTTTCTCACCTTTCTGCCCGTTCGCAGCTCAGAAAATGACAATGACCATCCTCATCTCGTTGTGTAGCTGGACATAGAAAATAGCACCATGAAAAAGAGCCACATTTCTCTAAACAACTCCCCCAGGGCTGCTGAAAGCTGAAAAAGAACCTATCTAGAAGTTTGGAGCTTTTACCCGTGAATCTTCACTTTGCGACTAAATCGCATGTCATCACGTACATTCACGTACATTCGAAATCAACATAATTTTGCGAATCGACATTTTTTTCAGGATCACTTTTCAAACGAGGACGAAGCAAAGTTGGCCGAACGAAGCCTAGAGGAAGAAAATCACCCTCTCCACTTCACCATCACGATACTGACATAGAAACGAGATGAAACAACTAAAAAATCCACAAGAAAACTGTACGGCCATCATCGCGCTGACTTTGGTCTGACTTTGGTCTGAGAATTTCTATCACGATCAAAAATGTACGAGGAGCACTCAAAAATAAGCCACAGACGTACCTTTATCGCTCTCTACTCCTTTTTCAAGGCACAAAAGTCGACTCTCCACTTTCAAACCAGGAACAAGACATACCAGTGGTCCTTTTCAGCTGCTCCACGAGCGCAGGAAATGCTCACCAAGGGGCGCAGAGCAGCATCCATTCCAGAAAAAAGAGCTAAAATACGAGTGAGACTGCATGACTGAGTACATGAGTACATATATGAGTACATGCAGAAAATAGTCAATTTCAGCATTTCTGCTCCAAACAGCAACTAGCTTCGACTAGAAACAAAGATTACACCAAAGGATCAAACAACAACCATTTTCTGCAGTTTTTTTGTTGATGGCTTCTTTGTGCTTGGCCCAGCACGCCAAAAATCACACCTGGGAGGAGTACAAAAATTACAACTCTCAGATGTCCTCGATTGCTGGCCATGGTGCCAAATTTTCTGGGTCACTGAATGCGGGTGCCAGCGCCCTACAAGCAAACCAAAAATGAAACCAATGCGACCGCTGACATTACAGCTGGGTCATGTTATAGAGAGGTACGTTGAAATTGAAAGGTCAGCACAAATGGTCAAAATCCGACATTTTCTCACCTTTCTGCCCGTTCGCAGCTCAGAAAATGACAATGACCATCCTCATCTCCTTGTGTAGCTGGACATAGAAAATAGCACCATGAAAAAGAGCCACATTTCTCTAAAGAACTCCCCCAGGGCTGCTGAAAGCTGAAAAAGAACCTATCTAGAAGTTTGGGGCTTTTTACCAGTGAATCTTCACTTTGCGACTAAACTATTCACAGCAGTGCCAAATTATCTGGGTCAATGAATGCGGGTGCCAGCGCCCTAAAAGCAAACCAAAATTCAAATCAATGCGACCACTAACATTACAGCTGGTTCATGTTATAGAGAGGTACGTTGAAATTAAAAGGTCAGCACAAATGGTCAAAATCCGACATTTTCTCACCTTTCTGCCCGTTCGCAGCTCAGAAAATGACAATGACCATCCTCATCTCGTTGTGTAGCTGGGTATAGACAAGAGCACCAAGAAAAAGACCCTATCTAGAAGTTTGGGGCTTTTTACCCTTGAATCTTCACTTTGCGACTAAACTATTAAGAGGGGTGCCAAATTTTCTGGGTCACTGAATGCGGGTGCCAGCGCCCTACAAGCAAACCAAAAATGAAACCAATGCGACCACTGAAATTACAGCTGGGTCATGTTATACAGAGCTACGTTGAAATTGAAAGGTCAGCACAAAGGGTCAAAATCCGACATTTTCTCACCTTTCTGCCCGTTCGCAGCTCAGAAAATGACAATGACCATCCTCATCTCGTTGTTTAGCTGGACATAGACAAGGACACCAAGAAAAAGACTCACATTTCTCTAAAGAACTCGCCCAGGGCTGCTGAAAGCTGAAAAAGAACCTATCTAGAAGTTTGGGGCTTTTTACCCGTGAATCTTCACTTTGCGACTAAACTATTCACAGCAGTGCCAAATTTTCTGGGTCAATGAATGCGGGTGCCAGCGCTCTAAAAGCAAACCAAAAATCAAATCAATGCGACCACTGACATTACAGCTGGTTCATGTTATAGAGAGGTACGTTGAAATTGAAAGGTCAGCACAAATGGTCAAAATCCGACATTTTCTCACCTTTCTGCCCGTTCGCAGCTCAGAAACTGACAATGACCATCCTCATCTCGTTGTGTAGCTGGACATAGAAAATAGCACCATGAAAAAGAGCCACATTTCTCTAAAGAACTCACCCAGGGCTGCTGAAAGCTGAAAAAGAGCCTATCTAGAAGTTTGGGGCTTTTTACCCGTGAATCTTCACTTTGCGACTAAACTATTCACAGCAGTGCCAAATTTTATTCGTCACTGAATGCGAGTGCCAGCGGCCTACAAGCAAACCAAAAATCAAATCAATGCGACCACTCACATCACAGCTGGATCATGTTATAGAGAGGTACGTTGAAAGTAACACGTCGGCACAAATGGGCACAAAGGGACAATTTCTCACCTTTCTGCCCGTTCGAAGCTCATGAACTGACCATAGCCACACTGATCTTGTTGTTTAGCTGGACATAGGGAAGTGAGCCAAGAAAAAATTACACATTTCAATAAACAACTCGTCCAGGGCTGCTCAAAGCTGATATCAAACTATCTCGAAGTTTTGGGCCTTTTTGCCCGTGATTCTGCACTTTGCGACTAAACTATTCACAGCAGCGCCAAATTTTAAGCGTCACTGATGCGGCTGCCAGCAGCCTACAAGCAAACCAAAAATCAAATCAATGCGACCACTCACATCACAGCTGGGTCATGTTATGGAGAGGTACGTTGAAAGTGACATGCTGGCAAAAATGTGCAAAAAGCGACAATATCTCACCTTTCTGCCCATTCGAAGCTCATGAACTGACCATAGCCACCCTGATCTTGTTGTTTAGCTGGACATAGGGAAGTGAACCAAGAAAAAATTCCACATTTCAATAAACAACTCGTCCAGGGCTGCCCAAAGCTGATATGAAACTATCTCGAAGTTTTGGGCCTTTTTGCCCGTGATTCTTCACTTTGCGACTAACTTATTCACAGCAGTGCCAAATTTTAAACGTCACTGAATGCGGATGCCAGCGGCCTACAAGCAAACTAAAAATCAAATCAATGCGACCACTCACATCACAGCTGGATCATGTTATAGAGAGGTACGTTGAAAGTTACACGTGGGCACAAATGGGCAAAAAGCGACAATTTCTCACCTTTCTGCCCGTTCGAAGCTCAAGAACTGACCATAGCCACCCTGATCTTGTGGTTTGGCTGGACATATGGAAGTGAACCAAGAAAAAATTCCACATTTCAATAAACAACTCGTCCAGGGCTGCTCAAAGCTGATATCAAACTATCTCGAAGTTTTGGGCCTTTTTGCCCGTGATTCTTCACTTGGCGACTAATCTATTCACAGCAGTGCCAAATTTTAGCCGTCACTGAACGCGGGTGCCAACTTGAAAAGCAAACCAAATATCAAATCCATGCGACCACTCACATCACAACTGGGTCATGTTATAGAGAGGTATGTTGAAAGTGACACGTGGGCACAAATGGACAAAAAGCGACAATTTCTCACCTTTCTGCCCGTTCGAAGCTCAAGAACTGACCATCGCCATCCTGATCTTGTTGTTTAGCTGGACATAGGGAAGTAAACCAAGAAAAAATTCCACATTTCAATAAACAACTCGCCCAGGGCTGCTCAAAGCTGATATCAATCTATCCAGAAGTTTTGGGCCTTTTTGCCCGTGATTCTTCACTTTGCGACTAAACTATTCACAGCAGTGCCAAATTTTAAGCGTCACTGAATGCGGGTGCCAGCGGCCTACAAGCAAACCAAAAATCAAATCAATGCGACCACCCACATCACAGCTGGATCATGTTATAGAGAGGTACGTTGAAAGTGACACGGGGCACAAATGGGCAAAAAGCGACAATTTCTCACCTTTCTGCCCGTTCGAAGCTCAAGAACTGACCATAGCCACCCTGATCTTGTGGTTTGGCTGGACATAGGGAAGTGAACCAAGAAAAAATTCCACATTTCAATAAACAACTCGCCCAGGGCTGCTCAAAGCTGATATCAAACTATCTCGAACTTTTGGGCCTTTTCGCCCGTGATTCTTCACTTGCGTCAGGCGAAATAGCACGTCATCGTACATTTGAGATCAGCGGGAAGAAGATGACGACGTCCACTAATTTAGTATCTGTGCACACCAATCTGCTGTGTGTGTGACTCTGTGTGTCAGCTATGATATCATCTTCTGTGGTTCCATGCCTAGCATGTACGTCTGAATCATTCTGCAAAGTTTGAATGACGTAGGTTGAGCGATCGCTCCGCGAAATATACTTTTTGAAATTCTCTTCATAGTATATCTTCCACCATTGAAATTTCGAATTTCTTCAAAAAAAGTGCTGAGAGGGGTGGCTTGCAACCTCGATATGGCTTGTTCCAGGCATGCTTTGGAGCCATCTTCTGTTGAAGTAGTGGCGGGGATCTGCCCTGCAACTGCTACAACAAAAAATGATTCGATCTGAGAAAGGGTGAGACCGCGAATCTCGGTTGAATATTGAGTATTTCAAGCCTTTTCACGACGAAGATGAAGTTCTTTTTGGAGATGGACGTCGCGGCAAAGGACATGGTGTCCGACGTCTGGCGTCTGGTGAAGCCAGGGATCATTTGTCCAGTCAGGTCGGCAGCCTAACCGTCGGTAAGCTTGTGTTTGGATCCCGTTCTGCTCGATGTGGTAGATCACAAACAATTTGATATCGCACAAATTGATCTCAGCATCGTGCGTACGGTATTTTATATTCAGAAAAGCCCAAAGTGTCTCTGTGTGGCCGTCCTATGCCACGAGAAACTCCAATCAGGCTCCTATGTCCTCTGCCTTCATGATTGAATGTCCACTTCGTTTGAACAACGAACACAACAATCGAGGATGGCTTTGCAATGAAAAATACAGCTATACTGGAGCTGAAAAAAAGAAGAAAAAAACGTGCTCAGGATGAGACTCGAGTACACGCATACTCTCCCAGCAGGTGAAACGCAATTTTTTGTGAAAAATGCGTGACGCCGACTGACCAGTAATTTCGCCTGACGGGCGACTAATCTATTCACAGCAGTGCCAAATTTTAGCCGTCACTGAATGCACGTGCCAACCCTAAAAGCAAACCAAATATCAAATCAATGCGACCACTCACATCACAACTGGGTCATGTTATAGAGAGGTACGTTGAAAGTGACAAGTGGGCACAAATGGGAAAAAAGCGACAATTTCTCACCTTTCTGCCCGTTCGAAGCTCAAGAACTGACCATCGCCACCCTGATCTTGTTGTTTAGCTGGACATAGGGAAGTAGACCAAGAAAAAATTCCACATTTCAATAAACAACTCGCCCAGGGCTGCTCAAAGCTGATATCAAACTATCTCGAAGTTTTGGGCCTTTTTGCCCGTGATTCTTCACTTTGCGACTAATCTATTCACAGCAGTGCCAAATTTTAAGCGTAATTGAATGCGGGTGCCAGCGGCCTACAAGCAAACCAAAAATCAAATCAATGCGACCACTCACATCACAACTGGGTCATGTTATAGAGAGGTACGTTGAAAGTGACACGTGGGCACAAATGGGAAAAAGGCGACAATTTCTCACCTTTCTGCCCGTTCAAAGCTCAAGAACTGACAATCACCACCCTGATCTTGTTGTTTGGCTGGACATAGGGAAGGGAACCAAGAAAAAATTCCACATTTCAATAAACAACTCGCCCAGGGCTGCTAAAAGCTGATATCAAACTATCTCGAAGTTTTGGGCCTTTTTGCCCGTGATTCTTCACTTTGCGACTAATCTATTCACAGCAGTGCCAAATTATAAGCGTCACTGAATGCGGGTGCCAGCGGCCAACAAGCAAACCAAAAATAAAATCAATGCGACCACTCACATCACAGCTGGGTCATGTTATAGTGAGGTACGTTGAAAGTGACACGTCAGCGCAAATGGGCAAAAAGCGAAAAGTTCTCACTTTTCTGCCCGTTCGAAGCTCAAGAACTGACCATAGCCACCCTGATCTTGTTATTTAGCTGGACATAGGGAAGTGAACAAAGAAAAAATTCCACATTTCAATAAACAACTCGCCCAGGGCTGCTTAAAGCTGATATCAAACTATCTCGAAGTTTAGGGCCTTTTTGCCCGTGATTCTTCACTTTGCGACTAAACTATTCACAGCAGTGCCAAATTTTAAGCGTCACTGAATGCGGGTGCCAGCGGCCTACAAGCAAACCAAAAATCAAATCAATGCGACCACTCTCATCACAGCTGGATCATGTTATAGAGAGGTACTTGAAAGTGACACGTTGGGCACAAATGGGCAAAAAGCGACAATTTCTCACCTTTCTGCCCGTTCGAAGCTGAAGAACTGACCATAGCCACCCTGATCTTGCGGTTTGGCTGGACATAGGGAAGTGAACCAAGAAAAAATTCCACATTTCAATAAACAACTCGTCCAGGGCTGCCCAAAGCTGATTTCAAACTATCTCGAAGTTTTGGGCCTTTTTGCCCGTGATTCTTCACTTTGCGACTAATCTATTCACAGCAGTGCCAAATTTTAGGCGTCACTGAATGCGGCTGCCAGCGGCCTACAAGCAAACCAAAAATCAAATCAATGCGACCACTCACATCACAAGTGGGTCATGTTATAGAGAGGTACGTTGAAAGTGACACGTGGGCACAAATGGGAAAAAAGCGACAATTTCTCACCTTTCTGCCCGTTCGAAGCTCAAGAACTGACAATCACCACCCTGATCTTGTTGTTTGGCTGGACATAGGGAAGTGAACCAAGAAAAAATTCCACATTTCAATAAACAACTCGCCCAGGGCTGCTCAAAGCTGATATCAAACTATCTCGAAGTTTTGGGCCTTTTTGCCCTAGATTCTTCACTTTGCGACTAATCTATTCACAGCAGTGCCAAATTATAAGCGTCACTGAATGCGGGTGCAAGCGGCCTACAAGCAAACCAAAAATCAAATCAATGCAACCACTCACATCACAGCTGGGTCATGTTATAGAGAGGTACGTTGAAAGAGACACGTGGGCACAAATGGGCAAAAAGCGACAATTTCTCACATTTCTGCCCGTTCGAAGCTCATGAACTGACCATAGCGATGCTGATCTTGTTGTTTAGCTGGACATAGGGAAGTGAACCAAAAAAAATTCCACATTTCTATAAACAACTCGCCCAGGGCTGCTCAAAGCTGATATCAAACTATCTCGAAGTTTTGGGCCTTTTTGCCCATGATTCTTCACTTTGCGACTAATCTATTCACAGCAGTGGCAAACTTTAGGCGTCACTGAATGCGGGTGCCAGCGGCCTACAAGCAAACCAAGAATCAAATCAATGCGACCACTCACATCACAGCTGGGTCATGTTATAGAGAGGTACGTTGAAAGTGACACGTGGGCACAAATGGGCAAAAAGCGAAAAGTTCTCACATTTCTGCCCGTTCGAAGCTCAAGAACTGACCATAGCCACCCTGATCTTGTTGTTTAGCTGGACATAGGGAAGTGAACCAAGAAAAAATTCCACATTTCAATAAACAACTCGCCCAGGGCTGCTCAAAGCTGATATCAAACTGTCTCGAAGTTTTGGGCCTTTTTGCCCGTGATTCTTCACTTTGCGACTAATCTATTCACAGCAGTGCCAAACTTTAAGCGTCACTGAATGCAGGTGCCAGCAGCCTACAAGCAAACCAAAAATCAAATCAATGCGACCACTCACATCACAGCTGGATCATGTTATAGAGAGGTACGTTGAAAGTGACATGTGGGCAAAAATGGGCAAAAAGCGACAATTTCTCACCTTTCTGCCCATTCGAAGCTCATGAACTGACCATAGCCACCCTGATCTTGTTGTTTAGCTGGACAAAGGGAAGTGAACCAAGAAAAAATTCCACATTTCAATAAACAACTCACCCAGGGCTGCTCAAAGCTGATATCAAACTATCTCGAAGTGTTGGGCCTTTTTGCGCGTGATTCTTCACTTTGCGACTAATCTATTCACAGCAGTGCCAAACTTTAAGCGTCACTGAATGCGGGTGCCAGCGGCCAACAAGCAAACCAAAAATAAAATCAATGCGACCACTCACATCACAGCTGGGTCATGTTATAGAGAGGTACGTTGAAAGTGACATGTGGGCACAAATGGGCAAAAACCGACAATTTCTCACCTTTCCGCCCATACGAAGCTCATGAACTGACCATAGCCACCCTGATCTTGTTGTTTAGCTGGACATAGGGAAGTGAACCAAGAAAAAATTCCACATTTCAATAAACAACTCGCCCAGGGCTGCTCAAAGCTGACATGAAACTATCTCGAAGTTTTGGGCCTTTTTGCCCGTGATTCTTCACTTTGCGACTAAACTATTCACAGCAGTGCCAAATTTTAAGCGTCACTGAATGCGGGTGCCAGCGGCCTACAAGCAAACCAAAAATCAAATCAATGCGATCACTCACATCACAGCTGGATCATGTAGGGCCCCGGTCACACCAAAACAAGCCACTTTGGGCTTGTTATCGCTGGCGCTCAGCTGGCTTGCGTGATCCCTGTGACGCGGTCACACCAGACCTTGAGTGCAAAGCTTGAATGGCTTGTTTTTCTTACCCGCCAAATTTTGAATATCTCGAAACACACCAATGTTTGCAAGAAACTGGAGAGCAGAATGTTCGCGATCTAAAACTGTACTTGTTCTAGTGTTCAGTTTTGATGAAGAAGCAAAAGGAAGCCCGGATTCTGAATTGCGAAGTCGTGCTCTTTTTATTTGTTCGGTGTGCATGGACGCGATGGTTCAGGTGGTGTTTCCTGATGTCGAGCTTTCTGCCCCGCCGGTTGCCGTTATTGAACTCGGTTGCAATCCACTCTCCTCTTCGTACCCGGCTTTCTTCATGAATTCGGTCGTGAGTGGGGTGCCTTGTCTTGGTCTCAAACCACAGCTCCAACAATCTACGCAGCAGTCTAGAGGCACAGCGGCAGAAATCCATGGTCGTCGGAGAAAATCCAAATCAACCGAATACAGTGTAGTTGGGGTAGACAGACTCACGGTCAAAACAAAAGGCACAGGGATAGCACGGTTCCACGGACACAAGAAAGAACATCAATATCAGTTCATCATGTCAACTAGATACATGGTGTGCTCTAAGCGCACTCAAATTATTTTTTGAATTTCAGCTTTCAGCCGCTTGTACAAGCTGTGGCTGAAACAAGCCGGAAAAAAACGGCTGAGAGTCAGCCACGGCTGAAAGTCGCTTGTAGGACATTTTTCAGCCATTTCCATGGTAATAGTGACGTAAACAAGCGCTTGTTTCGGCTGAACGGCTGAATCGAGCTCGGTGTGACCGCCGCCTTATAGAGAGATACTTGAAAGTGACACGTGGGCACAAATGGGCAAAAAGCGACAATTTCTCACCTTTCTGCCCGTTCGAAGCTCAAGAACTGACCATAGCCATACTGATCTTGTGGTTTGGCTGGACATAGGGAAGTGAACCAAGAAAAAAATTCCACATTTCAATAAACAACTCGCCCAGGGCTGCTCAAAGCTGATTTCAAACTATCTCGAAGTTTTGGGCCTTTTTGCCCGTGATTCTTCACTTTGCGACTAAACTATTCACAGCAGTGCCAAATTTTAGGCGTCACCTAATGCGGGTGCCAGCGGCCTACAAGCAAACCAAATATCAAATCAATGCGACCACTCACATCACAACTGGGTCATGTTATAGAGAGGTACGTTGAAAGTGACACGTGGGCACAAATGGGAAAAAGGCGACAATTTCTCACCTTTCTGCCCGTTCGAAGCTCAAGAACTGACAATCACCACCCTGATCTTGTTGTTTGGCTGGACATAGGGAAGTGAACCAAGAAAAAATTCCACATTTCAATAAACAATTCGCCCAGGGCTGCTCAAAGCTGATATCAAACTATCTCGAAGTTTTGGGCCTTTTTGCCCGTGATTCTTCACTTTGCGACTAATCTATTCACAGCAGTGCCAAATTATAAGCGTCACTGACTGCGGGTGCCAGCGGCCTACAAGCAAACCAAAAATCAAATCAATGCGACCACTCACATCACAGCTGGGTCATGTTATAAAGAGGTACGTTGAAAGTGACACGCGAGCACAAATGGGCAAAAAGCGACAATTTCTCACCTTTCTGCCCGTTCGAAGCTCAAGAACTGACCATAGCCACCCTGATCTTGTTGTTTAGCTGGATATAGGGAAGTGAACAAAGAAAAAATTCCACATTTCAATAAACAACTCGCCCAGGGCTGCTCAAAGCTGATATCAAACTATCTCGAAGTTTTGGGCCTTTTTGCCCGTGATTCTTCACTTTGCGACTAAACTATTCACAGCAGTGCCAAATTTTAGGCGTCACTGAATGCGGGTGCCAGCGGCCTACAAGCAAACCAAAAATCAAATCAATGCGACCACTCACATCACAGCTGGGTCATGTTATAGAGAGGTACGTTGAAAGTGACATGTGGGCACAAATGGGCAAAAACCGACAATTTCTCACCTTTCTGCCCATACGAAGCTCATGAACTGACCATAGCCACCCTGATCTTGTTGTTTAGCTGGACATAGGGAAGTGAACCAAGAAAAAACATGGCCAGCAATCAAGGACATCTGAGAGTTGTAATTTTTGTACTCCTCCGAGGTGTGATTTTTGG